CTGACAGTTCTGGAGGCTGGAATTCTGGGATCAGAGCACCAGCAGGGTTGGGTTCTGGTGAGGACTCTCTTCTTGGCTTGTCAGTGGCCACCTCTCTTTGCATCCTCACATGGAAGACGGAGCCAGAGAGCAAGCTCTCCAGTGTCTCTTCTGTTAAGGGCACTAATTCGTTCATGAGAGCCCCCACTTACGATCTTTGTCTCTCCCTAATTACCTCCCAAAAGCCTTATCTTCAAATACCATCACATTGGGGGCGTAGGGCTTAAACATGAGAATTTAGTGAGGGGCATGTATACACTCAGTCCATAGCACTGCTGTATTAGTCTTACAGGACCACCATAACAAAGTAACACAGACTGGGTGGCTTAAACAGTACGTATTTATTTTCCCTCAATTCTGGAGGCCAGAAGTCTACGATCAAGGTAATGTCAGGGCTGGTTTCTGGTAGAGGCTCTCTTTCTGGTTTGTAGATGGACACCTTCTTTCTGTGTTCTTACATGGTCTTCCCGCTGTATGTGTGCATACAGAGAGTGAGAGAGTTCTCTCTTGTCTGTTCCTCTTCCTATAAGAACACCAGCCCCATCAGATTAAGGCCCTCCCCTATGACCTCACTTAACCTTTACTACCTCCTTGTAGACCCCATCCAAATATAGGCACACTGGGGTTAGGGCTTCAGCAATAGGAATTTGAGGGGGACACAGTTCAGTCCAAAATACCTCCTGCTGATGGACTTTTGGATAGTTTCTGATCTTTTGCTTTTACACATGGCACTTCATGAATGACATTGTACATATGTTTTTTTTTTTTAAATATGTTTTATTTTGTCTTTTTGCCAGTCTGTCTTTGGAATTGATTCCTAGACATAGGCTTCCTGGATCAAAGGATAAATGTACATGTAATTTTGCCAAGTGTTACCAAATTGTCCTCCATAGAGATTATACCATTTTGTGTTCCCAACTAGTGTATGAGCCTACATTCTTACAGCCTCACTAACAGAATATGTTGTCAAATTTTTTAATTTTTTCCAAGCTGATAGCTGAGAAATGGTATTTCAATGTAGTTTTAATTTGCAATTCTGTTAAGAGTAGGGTCTTTTCATATGTGTGAGGACTGTGTGCATGTTTTCTTCTGTGAAACTATCTGTTCGTATATTCTTTTAATTAGTCAGCTTGGGTACAGTAGCAGATGACCTCAACATAGCAGTGGAATTCTATAACAGCAGGTTTGTTTCTCACTCTCATTATCCAGCCCCTGTATGGAATGTGCTACTATCACAACAGAGGGAAAGAGCAAGATTGCTGGTGGAAACATGCATTGTCTCTTAAAGATTCTGCTCAGATGTGAAGTGTGTCACATCCACCCACATGCCATTGGTCAGAGCAAGTCAAATGGCCAAACCCATCCCAGGGGAATTGGGGAGACTTCGTATACTGTCCAAAGGAGCTACTACTACAGGTCTCTTGGCAGGAGGGCAGAGCAGGGGGATATAGAATCCTGCTTCCCAAATTTCTGCAGAAGAACCATATGGTTCTTTTATATCGTAGAAGTTATAATTTACCTTTGTTTGTGTAAACATTTAAATAATATCCATCTAATATACAGTAAGCTCTTTGTGGGTAGTACTGTTTTTTGTTCATTGTTAAATCCCCAATGCGCAGCACATCTCCGGCATGTACTAAAGAATCTATGAATAGTTTTGAATGAATAATTATAATTATTTTTTTCCCTGAATTTTCAAATATCAATCTTAGGTTTTCGTGGCTTAATATACGATAACAAAACCGAATCTATGAGGACAATTAACCTGCTTCAACGAATGAATATTTACCAAGAGGTTTTTCTCAGTATTTTATATAGAGTTCTACCCATACAGGTACGTTGTGTTCCGTGACATTGAATTTAATATCAGATGAAAGTCAGAGTCTCATTTTAAGTCAAAAGTTTCACATACATTATTCTGATCTTCAACTAGCTTGGTATAAAAACAACAGTATCCTAATTTTCTCCATACTTACTGTGAATTCTGCTTTTTATTTATATTTTATAAGATTTTTTATATATATAGATGCTTCCAGGCTTAACAAGTATGCAGTCTAGAAGCTGACAAATATTTTCATTTAGCAATTTGTAATCACTCCTATCTTTGAAATTAAAAAAAAAACTGGAAAATTAGCAAATTACAATGACCATTTCTCACATGAATAGGGTAATACTGGACAAGCTAGGTGTAAAACTAGTCTGAAGAATGAAGCCAGAGTCCTCAAGGACTCCCTTCCGTCTCCTGCTCTTGGTATTGAGAAGAAAGGCCATTAGTACTTTCACGTGGAAAGGAGTGATGTAGGCTTATTTCTTGGAATTAATACCAAGCTTCTGAATATTAAATTTTCACTGTCATATTGTTAAATGGCAATGAGAGGGGGTAGGGCTTCTCTAACAAATGTTTTTTGTTCCCTTTTATAGAAATATTTAGAGCCAGTTTATTTTTATATTTACACCTTATTTGGACTCCAGGCAATTTATGTCACAGCTCTTTACGTAACCAGCTGGCTCCTCAGTGGTACATGGCTGTCAGGGCTGCTGGCAGCTTTCTGGTATGTCACAAATAGGTGAGTTGGAATCAGTATTCCTTTCTCCCGTTCTACAGTGTAAGTTAAAATGTAGTTACTTCACTTCCGGGGTAAAGAAAGGTGTTTTCCCACATTTGTGTGGGAGTATTTTCCCTTTGGTTTACCCAGTGGAGTTTGTCTTATCTAGTAAGGTAGGAAGTCCTACTTACGTATATTTACAAATGAGGAATCAAACATTAAATTCCAAGTCAAGAGAATCATCTGTAATAATCCCAACTGTGTTACCAACTTGCTGGGTGATCAGTATTTCTCCAGCCACATATCTCTTGAAAGGTTTAATAATACCTTAATAGGGTTGTATGCAAGTCATAGCAAGCATAAAGCACTATACAAATGCAAGGAAGTTCTTACATTATTTAATTAAGATCTATTAATATCCAAATACTGGAACAGTATTAAATAGCATCTTAGAAAACATATTCAAGATACACTGACCTGACCTGCAGTAGCAGTTTTAAAATTTGAATGTGAGTTCTAATACTGATTTTATGTTGTAGTCCTAAACAAATTATTTTTTATTATAACCTTACTGAGTGCTTACTATATGCTAAGTACTTTACATCATGCTTTTTATGTATTCATTTAACAACCCTATAGGGTAGGTAGTCTCATACCATTTTAGAGATAAGGAAATTGAAGCTTAAAAAGGTTAAGATATGCATTTAAAAGATTAGGTTGTGTGTGTGTGTGTGTGTATAAGAATATACAGATAGGCATATATATATAGAGAGAGAAAAGCATACACACATACATGCACCCACAGAACTAAGTCTTGTTCAGAATTCAAATGCAGAATATGAGAACACTGTGTTATGCTGCCTCTTAACAGTTTAATCTAACGTATTGTTCCTGCAAAGAGTAAATGAAAGTCTGATTTATTGTTCTTATTAAGAGTAAATAGAAAACATTTACTGAATGCCTAGTACGCGTAGGAATGGTTTTTGGTGCTGGTTGTACATAGTTTAAAACATACCTATACCTGCCCTCTGGGGGTTCACATTCTAGGTGGGCAAGGAGCTTTTAAAAATTACCAATGACAAATTTAAGACCAAAGTATAAAGCACTAAAGAAATATGAAAGAATGCAAAACATTGCCAGTTGGCATTAATGAAGTTAGAAATAAAACAATGAGGTCGTTTAGCAAGAACGTTCATGATTTAGGAGTCATGCTAACATGGGTTTGAACCCCATTTCTGCCACTTAGCTAACTGCATATCTGTGGACAGTTGATCTAATTTTTCTCAATGCCATTTTTATGTTACAGGGATGATAATGATAAGGACAAATTATTATTGAGAACCAGTAACCAGAATCTAAATATACTTAATGTAATAATATATCTTTCACTTTAGGAAATCTTTGAGGTAATGAGAGTAAAAATTACTGCTTTGGCACTTTGTGTTTCCGTTGTGCAGAATAGATACTACAAGGGTTGAGTTTACCATCCCATTGAGAGAGAATTGGGCGCTGCCATTCTTTGCAATTCAGATAGCAGCAATTACGTATTTTCTGAGACCAAACTTACAGCCTCTTTCTCAAGTAAGTTTTTATAGTACATTTATATGTATTTTTAGTTCTCCAGTTTTATCTCAGAAACTTCAGAAAATGTTATGTCCCAGCACATGTTAATAGTTTATCCCATGACCGATTTTTTAACTTGAGTTAAATTAAGTTTTCTTCTTCTAAACCTTTTCCTACTTTGCAAAGAAAATGTTTTCATTTTGGTGTTAAAAATGTATTCTGTCTTATCTCCCCATAAATAGGTGCAGCAAACCCAAACATAATTTCTGCAAAACTGTCAGAATTTTAAGCCATTGCTCTTGAGATGTGATTTGGTATATTATTGCCTCCATAATAGTATGGAGTACACTTACCATATGTGAATATTTATATGCAAAGTGTCACTTGGAATACTTAGAGCTTAAATAACAAAAGCAAGAGTTTTCACAGCAACAGTTTATAGTTTTTCTATTTGGTCTATAGAGATATTGGCTGCTCTTGAGAAAACTTGTCTGCAAGGCTTTTTATTACTAGAGACATGTAAATTATATAAAAGTTTTCTTTTTACAGAGGCTGACACTTCTTGCCATTTTCATATCAACTTTTCTCTTTAGTCTGACATGGCAATTTAATCAATTTATGATGCTGATGCAAGCATTAGTGCTGTTCATTCTGGACTCCTTGGACATGCTGCCAGCAGTGAAGGTAAGCTTTGCCTTTTTCAGCTGAGATGGTTATTGTTTAATGTTTTATATTATAGAGTGAGCTCAGAATGTACACGTGCTTAATGGTAAAGTTGAAGCTGTTTCTTAGCTATAATGTAAATATGCTGTGGTCAATTGAAGCTGAGTAATTTATGCAGCTTAACTTCTATCTTTTAAAGTAAAATAAGCAGAATAAATTTATTTGAAGCACAAATGTATAGATCAGTGGTCCCTTATAGAGTTGATTTAAATTTTAAAATATAAAATAGCTCTTCTAAATCTTTTACCCATTGGTAATAAGACATCCCTTCCCCTCCCTGCCAGGATAGTGTCAGAAAAGACCAACAGGGAATCAGGACATTAACCACCACTCAGAAGTAAGAAAACCTCCCTCCCCTCCTTTGCCCCACCCCATAGTGTCAATGAAGGCCACATGAGGAGCAGTGATGAGACATTCCTTCCTCTCCCAGCCAGGATAGTGTCAACCGAAGCCTTGTAGGGAGCCTAAACTTTTATCTTCATCCAGCAGTAATGAGACACCCCCTTCTCCTACCTTCCAAAAGTCAGTGGAGGTCAGGTGGGCACTCTGGACATCCTAACCCATCTGGAAATAACGAGGCAGCATCCTTCTTCCCTCAGTGACGTGATGCTGGCATGGTGCCAGAGGAGGTCTGCTGACACATTTACATAAGATCCAGAGTTCCATAACATAATACAGTACAACTGGTCATTTGATAAACAAAACCAGAGAAATCTCTCTTGAATGAACAAAGATGATACACAGGTACCAACACCAGGATACACAGAAGTTGAATTACCTGACAAGGAATATAAAGCAGTCATAAGAAATTTCATTTAGCAGTTACAAACACACTTGAAACAAATGAAAAATAAAAACTGCCAACAAAGATTTAGAAGGTAAAAATAAGAAGCAAATGAAAATTTTAGACCTGAAAAATTCCAATAATGAAAATAAACAACTCAATAGATGGACTTAACAGTATAATGGAGTGGTCAGAGGAAAGAATCAGTGAACTTGAAGATAGAACAATTTAGAATTACCTAATCTGTGTGAGAAAATAGACTGGAAAAAAGTGAACTGAGCCTCAGAGACCTGTGGGACTATAACAAAAAGTCTAACATTTATGTAATCAGAACCCCAAAAGGAGAGAGTGTGAGGCTGAAAAAAAAAATTAGGGGGGAAAAAAAAACTTTTTGAAGGAGTGGTTGAGAATGTCCCAAATTTGGCAAAACCTACAGAATTGAGAAACTGAGCTAATGTCAAATAGGATAAACCCAAATAAATCAATGCCATACATCATAATCAAACTTCTACAGACTAAAGATAAAAAAAACCTTGAAAGCAGTCAGAGAAAAATTGTACTTAACCATAGGGGAAAACCAGTTTGAATGACAGTGGGTTTCTTATCAGAAACCATCTCATCTGAAAGAAAAGAATGGTCCACCTAGAGTCCTATATCCAGCAAAAGTATCTTTCCAGAAAGAAAAGAAGGAAAATCAAAACATTCTCAGATGAAGGATTTATTATGAACAGACGTACCCTAAAAAAATGGCTAAAGGAAGTTCTTGAAACAGAAAGAAATGATAAAAGAAGAAATTTGGAATATCAGGAAGAGAGAAAAGGCAATTAAAAGAGTGAAAAATATGAACAAGTATAATAAACTTTATGTCTCATCTTGAATTTTCTAAAATATTTAACTACAGGGACTTAAATCGAGATAAAATTTCTACACTTGATTCAAACGGGTAAAATGTCCACACCAGTAAACTATAATAATTATGAATGTATAATATAATAGCCCAGAATAACCACTAAAAAAAATTACACAAAGAGATACATTCAAAAATACTGTAAAGAGGCTCACACAGGCACCTCTTGTCTGTGTGTCCTGCTATTGTCCATGGCAGCATAACCTAATACACTTCTCTATTCTCAAAAAAAAAAAAAAAAAGCCACCTATAAATAAATTAAAATGGAATTCTGAGAATGTTCAGGTAACCCACAGGAAGGCAGAAAAAAGGAAGCAAATGGAAAACAGAGTGAACAAAAATTAAATGATAAAATGGTAGATTCAAGACCTATCATACAAGTAACTACATTAAAGATAAATGAACTAAATACAATTTAAAGACAAAGGTAAGTAGAGTAGATTTGAAAAGCACAACCCAATTGTTGTCTATAAGAAACTGACTTCAAGCAAACAATATAGGTAGGTTGAAAATAAAAGGATGGGAAAAGATACATCATGCAAATATTAATCAAAAGAAAGAAGGAGTGGCAATATTAATCTCAGATAAAGTAGGTGTGAGAGCAAAGAAAATTATGAGAACATTATATAATGTCAAACATGTTAATCTGCCAAGAAGACATAGCAATCCTAAATGTATGTACACTAAACAACAGGGCCAAACATATGTGATTCAAAAACTGAGAGAATTGGAGGGAGAAATAGACAAACCCACAAATGGAGTTGAGGACTTCAACACCTTTCTCTCAACAATTGAGAACTAGTCAGAAATCATTAAGGATACAGAATTCAACACCACCATCAACCAACAGGATCTAACCAACACTTGTTGAACACTCCACCCAACAAGAGTAGAATACCCAATGGATTGAATCAGTGATTCAAACTAGAAATCAATACAAAAAAATAAAGTTTTCAGCACTTGGAAACTAAATTTCTAGCACATTTATAAATAATCTATGGTCAAAGAGGAAGTCTTGAAGAAACACTGCACTCAATAACAAAAATGCAACATATCAAACCTTGTGGGATGCAGCTAAAGCAGCACTCAGAGGGAAATATATAGCACTAAATACTTATAAGAGGAAAAATCTGAAATCATAACCTAAGCTCCCACCTTTTTTAAACTAGAAAAAGAAGGGCAAAATAAACCCAACTCAGGAGGAAGAAAATAATGAAAGAACAAAAATCAACAAAATTAAAAACATAAAAATAATAGAGAAAATTAATGAAATAAAAAGCTAGTTCTTTTCAAAAGAGCAGTAAATTTACAAACCTCCATTACTGCTTCAGAGCATTAAAAATTTGATGTTAACAAACTTTGATACCAAGTTCTGAGTCTCTGTGGCACTACTTATGTTCTAGTCAGTATACCATAGCGATTAAGAGCACAGACTCCAGAACGAGACTGCCTGGATTTGAATGAGCTGATGTATGTGAGTCATTTATAACACTGTCTGGTATTTTATGAATATTAAAAAATGTTAACCATGGTTAATTATGAATGATAATGAAGAGCATGACTGTGACCCATTGAAGAAAATTTTAATTATTCTACATAGAGAAAAATGAATTATTGCTCCCTTGTTTCTAAACTCTGGACTAAGAAACAGAGAAGGAACATCAGGTGTACCATTGATAATCCAGGACTTTCTGTTATACAATAGTGCTCAACTTTATGTTTCTGGCTGATAAACTGCAATGTTTCTCTTGAACCTAGGATATCATTGCACTTGACCCTTAAAACAACGTAGGTTTCATTGTATGGGTCCACATATATGCAGATTTTTTTTTCTCAATAATTACATACAGTACTCTGTAGCTGGTTGAATTCGTGGATGCAGAAGACTGACTGTGGGACTTGAACATCTGAGGATTTTGTTACCTACTGTGGGTCTTGGAACTAATCCCCCACAGATACCAAGGGACAACTGTACCTTTATAAAACTATTCAGGTTTATAACACAAGCTGCTCTTTTTTCTCTGAGTTTGCCTACTTGATATAAAAAGAACTGGCAGCATCAGAAAACACCGCAATCCAAATAAAGACAAACAAAAAAGGTTTATTTCTTTAAATGTGTTTCTGAAGGAATTGTTATTCTTAAAGAGTTCCTACAGATTTACTGAGAAAAACATTTACACTCCAGTGGAAAAAGGAACTAAAAAATACAAATACTTCCTAGAAGGAAAGCATCAAAAAGAATAAAACGTATAGATATAAATTGAAAAAAAGAAGTGCACGCTTATACTCTAAAAACTATAGAACATTGTTGAAAGTTTTAAAGACCTACATAAATTGGAAAGACATGTTCATGGATTTTAAGACTTGCTATTGTTAAGATAGCAGTACTCCCCAAATTGATCTACACGTTCAACACAATTCCTCTCAGAAGCCCAGTTATAGAAGTTGACAAGCTGATCCTAAAATTCATATGGAAACTGACGGGATCCAGGATAGCCAAAATGATCATGAATAAGAAGATCAAAGTTGGAAGACTTAACACTTTCTTATTTCACAACTTAACGTCCAACCTACAATAATCAAGACAGTGTGATACTGGCAGCAGAATAGACATTAATCAATGGAATAGAATTGAGAGACCAGAAATAAACAGTCAACTGATTTTCAGTAAGGGTGCCAAGATAATTATGGAGAAAGAATAATCTTTTCAATAAATGGTGCTGGAATAACTGGATATCCACAAAAGAACGAAATTGGACCCCATCCTCTCACTATTCACAATAATTAACTCAAACTAGATCATAATACCAAGAGTAAAATGATTAAAGAAAAAATTGCACTTCATCAAAATTTAAAAACTTTTGTATTTCAAAGTGTACCATCAAAAAAGTGAAAAGACCACCCACAAAATGGAAGAGAATATTTACAAATTATGTATATGGTTAGAGATTTCCAGAATATATAAAGAACTCTTACAACTCTTTCAACAAGAAAATATGAGTAAAAGATTGGATAGACATTTCTCCAAAGAGAATGTATAAACGTTCAATAAACACAGGAAAAGATGCTCAACATCAGTCGTCTTTAGAGAAATACAAATCTAAACCATAGTGATAACACTTTACACCTAGTTGGATGGCTAAAATTTATTAAAGGCAAATAGTAACAAACATTGGCAAGGATGTGAAGAAACTGGAACTCATACATTGCTGATGGGATTGTAAGTGGTGCAGCCCCTTTGGAAAAGAGTTTAGCATTTCCTCAGATGCTAAGTATAAAGATACCACAGGATCCAACATTTCTACTGCTAGGTACATATCCAAGGGAAATGAAAACATATCCATGTAAACGTTTGTACATGAATGTTCATGGCAGCATGATTCATAATAGCTAAAAAGCGGAAACCGCCCAAATCAATTGATAAATGAGTAAACAAAATTTGGTATATTCATTAAACAAAATATTATTCAACAGTAAAACGAATGAAGTACTGATGCATGCTACGACATGGATGAACCTTGAAAACGTGGTGCTAAGTAAAAGAAGCCAGTCATCAAAACTACATGTTATATGGTTCTGTTTATATGAAAAGTCTAGAATGTACCAGTCTAGAGACAGAAAGTAGACTAGTGTTTGACAGGAACTAGGGAAAGGGAGAGAGGAGTGAGAGCTGATGGATATCGAATTTCTTCTGGGATAATGATACTGTCTTAAACTTAGATTGTTTGATATTTGCTAACTAAAAATCATGAATTGTACACTTTAAATGGGTGAACTTTATGATACATGAATTATATACCGATAAAGCTGTTAAAAAGGAAAAACTGTTTTCTCTAACTAGTAACTGCTTTCTGGAATGTGTCCCAAGATACTCATTCGTTCATTACCCCAATATTTATTGAGTGATACTGTTCTGGGCACTGTATTAGGTGCTGGGGATACAAAAATGAACAAAGTAGGAACAAATCAGATACAATAATCTGAGGATTTTTTAAAAGAATGTTCATAATAACATTAATTTCAATAATAATAAAAAGCTGAGAACACTTAGAAGATCCAGTGGCAGACAAATTATGACATATGGTGGAATGTTATGTAGCCATCTAAAATTAAGTTGAAATAGTCATCAGTGTAAGAAATTTATACAGTATAATGTGAAATAAATAAAATACTACATGAAATATCATATACCACTATGAAATCAATATGATTTCTGTAGGTGAATCCATTGGATTTTGACTCTAGAGCCCACATTTGTATCCATTACTGTTTTGTTTTGTTTTGTTTTTGGTGCCTTTTTGAATTTTCTGTTTCATACAGTAAGATGTGTTATCTGTATAATCCTAAAAACTGTAACTGATCCATTTCTCCAAGTTTCTGGTACTCACTGAGCAAAAGCACTGAACTGTTATTGTAGGCCTTACTTCTTAATGCCTGATGTAGGTTTGTTTCCTTTGACATTAATTTAACAAAACAGAATTATGGAGAGAATGTGATTCCCTGCTGAATAGAAGTGGAAGTTTTCCTACACCAGAATGAATATGGGATCATCTAATTTGAAGAAGAAGAAGAGTATCAGCTCTTTATTAGAGGTTGTCTTTTTTTCTCTGTGGCATGATTTTTATATTCAAGTTGGTTGAGTTTTGATGTTTTAAGTGTCAACCTGCCAAAAGTTTTTTATTACGTCAAGAGCTGTCTTAGGACACCATGAATCTCCTAGAAGAGAACACAGGCAAAACATTCTCTGACATAAATCGTAGCAGTGTTTTCCTGGGTCACTCTACCAAGGCAAGGGGAATAAAAACAAAAGTAAACAAATGGAACCTGATTAAACTTTTATAAGCTTTTGCACATCAAAGGAAACCATAAACAAAATGAAAAGACAACCTATGGACTGGGAGAAAATATTTGCAAACGGCGTGACTAACAAGAGCTTCCCTTCCAGGATACACAAACGGTTCATACAACTCAGTAACAAAAAACAGCTCAATCAAAAAATGGGCAAAAGACCTAAACAGACATTTCTCCAATGAAGACATACAGATGACCAACAGGCACATGAAAAGATGCTTAATATCGCTAATTATCAAGAAATGCAAATCAAAACTACAATGGGGTATCACCACAAACAGTAAATGCTGGAGAGGGTGTGGAGAAAAGGGAGCCCTCCTACATTGTTGGTAGGGATGTGATTTGGTGCAGCCATTGTGGAAAAGAGTATGGAGATTCCTTAAAAAACTAAACATAGATTTACCATATGATCCAGCATTCCCACTCCTGGGCATACTATCTGGAGAAAACTCCAGAGATTTGAAAAGATACATGCACCCCAATGTTCATAGCAGTGCTGTTTACAACAGCCAAGACATGGAAGCAACCTAAATGTCCACCAACAGAAGATTGGATAAAGAAGATGCAATATAGATATGTATGTGTGTATACATGTATATATACACACAATGGAATATTAGTCATAAAAAAGAATGCAGTAATGCCATTTGCAGCAACATGGGTGGACCTAGACATCATACAAAGTAAAGTCAGAGGAAAACAAATATATCACTTATATGTGGAATCTTAAAAAATGACACAAATGAACTTATTTATAAAACAGAAAAAGAATCACAGAGATACTAAACTAAACTTATGGTCACCAAAGGGGAAAGTAGGGGAAGGAATAAATTAGGAGTGTGGGATTAGCAGATACAAACTACTATGTGTAAAACAGGTAAAACAACAAGGCCCTACTGTATGTATAGCATGGGGAACTGTATGCAATAGCTCGTAACCTATAATGAAAAAAGAATATGAAAAAGGATATTTATGAACTATATAACTAAATCACTGTGCTGTG